AGCGTGTCCGCGGGCGCCGCAGCCCCCCGCGAGAGACCGGCTGGCTCGCTGTGCGCGGCGCACGGCGGCGCGGCGAAGATGATTGAGAGTCTCCCGTCTCGCCTGCGTGCAAAGCATTTTGTGCTCCGGTGTGAAATTTGCTCCCCGGCTTTTATCCTCCGCAGAGATCCTCTTTAAAACGCCGTAGCTGCTGTTTTTGTTTTTTCTTGAGGGGAAAGCGATCTCTTCGCTTTGGCTTTCCAGCTCAGACGGCTGCAGTGCAATGCACAATCTCACTACGCCGGGAAGCAAATTCTGCTCTGGAGGGGAAGCTTTGAAACCCGCCTGTAAAAAGTAGGATTTTCTCAATAGAGACAGGAAGAAAACACCTTCAGATGGACGGAGTTGTGGTCACTCGTTTCATCTGGACCCCCCCCTCCTGTAATTGGTGCTTGGAGCCATGAACATTCCTCCGCAGAGCAAAGAGAAATCCAGTCAGTGGACAATACGTCGAACTGGGTTATCACACATCTGCTAATCTCCTTACAGACAGCAAAACCTTGGCTTGGTCAGCTCCTTAAAACCAGCTAGGGGTGTCACAGTGGTTAGGCAGCGAGGGGGTTTGGTTGAAGTCCCTAAGGTCTATCTCTGAAGACGCAGTCACGAGAGCAGAGCTTTAAGAGCCTCTGGATCATGGAGGAGGAGCGCTGATTAATTCTGAAAGGCCCCTGCCCTGCCCTGTCCTGCACCTCATGTTCCTCTTCTGTCGTTTCCTCTCTCTATCTTCTCTGGAGCTTCTTCCTGGGTGGGGGTGGGGGGCGGTGGGGTCTTTGGTTAGGAGGGGGGATGTGTTTGCAGCATCTCTTGTGATTCAGCGACTTAAATCTCTCCTTTCTAGGTTCTTCTGGTTCTTTTAACCTCCCAAACTCTGGGGACATGTTCATGAGCATGCAGAGTCTGAATGGGGATTCTTACCAGGGGGCACAGGTCGGAGCCAATGTGCAGTCACAGGTAGGAGACGTGAACAGGGACAGGGCTGAACCCAGGCTGGGGCTGATCTGACCCTGACCAAACTGAGCCATTGGCAGCAGCTGCTTCTAGCTCCCCGCCGCCTTGCGGGGCGCGCAGGCAACTGCTGCGGGGACCTCGGCCTTCAAGGGCACCCCGACACGCGCTTGCCTTCAAATCGAGACGCGCACCTTTTGGGGGCGATCGGTTGGCTCTCCGCAGCCAAGACCACCTCTCGCCTGGAAGCTGTGCTTCGGTCTGCGTGGCCCCAGCTGCAGTTTCACGTCAATGACTCGTTCTGGCCAAGGGAGGACAGCTTTGACCCCTCCCCCCCTACCCCCGACCCCTGACACAGATTGTTCCCTGTTCAATTATCCCAGAATTCCCCCTTGAACCATTCATTCGAAATTTTCAACTCTGATCTGTGGAGAGGTTTGATCTGCAAAATATGACCTGTATCTCATTACCTGACGTGTTTCCAAAACATTTAATGATACTTAACTTGTTCGCAACCTACTCGTTGGTCTTGCAGTGTGCCGATGACCCCCATTGAAGTCGATACTATGTGAACGCATTCGGCTCTGACTTGAGCTCTAGGGTTGGGTGTGGGAGTGCGGTGTACCGAGATATATTTCCCCCTCCTTTCCTGTCCTCCGTGAAGTTGTTCCTGCCCTGCTTGTGTGTCTCTGCTTTGCGCCATGCTGTCATTTCTCTCCTCCATGTGTCACGGGGCTAGCCGAGCGCCACCTGGAACTGCACTGGGCCACTATGGAGGCCGTGTGCGGGATCCGTCAGGGTGCAGCGTTTAAAATGATAGTATTGAGGAGGGCTCTTTCGCAGGACCCTGAGTCTGAAGCGATCTGGGGTTAAACTGGATGTTGCCCTTCATGGTAAGAGCCTGGAACTGACTGCCATTTGGTAGGTTTGTGTGCGCGAGTTCACACTCGACCGGTTTTTGGCGAGTAACTTTGACCAGCGCCTCCTGAGCTCCCTGGGCATGACCCAGCCTGACCGGGCGGCGCAGAGGCCCGAGAGCTGGGAGAGAAAAGCTGCAGCCCCTCTCTCTGGGGCTGCAAAGGGACGCTCTCACCTCCGATTGGCCAACATCCTGCACAATCCTTGCAGCTTCTGTTATTGCCATCCTTAAAACTCCTCAAGAGAACCAACCAATAAAATAGACAGTTTGACACATCTATAGATCATCCATCCCACAAGTATCATGGCTCCATTTCTCCTGTTACTTGTTCCACTTGTTTTTTCCCCTTCTAATGCGAAAGGTGCTGTGTGACACCCCCACGGTGCTTCCTGGCAGGTCTGACGGGGGCTCTCTCTGTCTCCCTCTCGCTGCAGGTGGATACCCTGCGCCATGTTATCAGTCAGACGGCAGGATACAGTGACGGCCTGGGAGGGAACTCTCTGTACAGTCCACATGGCTTGAACGTGAGTCTCTCCTTTGTCGCCTCTATGGAGAACCTCTGCGTTTTTGTGAATTTGAAATGTTTCCAAAAAGAGATCTGAAGAAAAGCAAAACAGAGTGACACCCCCCCCCATACACACACACAATTCCCCTCCACCACCCCCTCCCTCAGTACCCGACTCCCAAGAACCCCAACATAAAGTTGAATAGGTACAATAGCAGGATTTGACAGCCAAGTGTCCACAGCTCCCCAAATTAGCACAACCAAAGAACCCCTCTGGTTGAAGTTCTTTGTTTCAAATACACATCCCCTGTAGTTTCGTTTTGTGGCCTCAGGTTCGTGTTTCACTGTTGATTCTGAAGAAGTCCAATGGGTCGACATTATTAGTGCCTTCGAGGAATGAGGAGACTTGTAAACAGTTTTAAATACTTGAATGTCTTTGGCAAGTTGGTTGGAATAATAAATGAACTGGAGCACATTTTGCCTGGGAGCGAATGTCTTCGAAAGCTGTTCTTGATTCCGTTTCCTGCAGTTGGGCAGGATGGGTTCTGAGGGCTGCGCCAGTGAATGAGGCAGAGGGGTACAGTCTGTACCCCAGCCCAGCCAGACACGAAGGGAAGGAGTACTGTATGTGCAGCAGTGTCCCTGGTGATTGAGCTGCTTTTAGCATGAGGCAAATAAATGACAAGGCAGATTACAGATTGCAAAAGTGACGGCTGTCTTTGTTAATGCAAGGATAAAAGTATCGTTTAATATTAACACACACAGGGAGAGAGAGCAAGAATGAGAGAGTGAAGAAATCTTTTACATTTGAATATGTCAGAGCTTTCCTCCTTTTTGCTTTTATAAACATTTCATAATAACCTATAGCAAAATGGTATAAAAAGCCTTTTAGTTGCGTATCTACGTTTTCATTGAACTGTTTTGAAATGCTTCAGAGAATTTGCCATATCCTTATCAACATGATAAAATATGAAACTGTGATTGCCTGCAGCATTTTACAGACATGAATTCCATCTTCCCTGATGAGGGTTGATAAGGCGCTGTTTCATAATACAGTGCATAATCTGAAACCACCAGAGTAAAGATTAATTTATTTCGAGAGAGAGAGAGAAGAGGGGAGCAGGAGAGAGAAATGCTTGCTGACAATCTTTCCTTCAGCAGTTTGCTGAAGTGAAATATTTGCATTTGTTGCTTTACTGGGGAAATGAAAGGGACAGTAGTGACTTGAAGGCTTTGCGCTCTCTTTTTCTTGATTCCAGAAAAAAGAAAACAAAAATTTCAAAACACATCAGTTGTTGGAGGGAAACTCGGTACGCATAGTATTCTCTAGGGGTCAGCTGTAGTTTCCTGTCAGCGCTTCTTTTCCAAATCCTATTCTTTCATTAAAACATCCTGGTACGCATCTTTAGCATCTCCCTGTGTTTGAACAACGAGATGGGAATCTATGCTACGGTATCCTTTGATGTTGGACCTGCCTTTCCTCGGGCACCTCCAGGAGTCAGGCCTGCTCACTGCACACAAGCCGCAGAGAGCACCCTAGATGTCCCCCCACTGTCCCGGAGAGCCCTGGGGAGCTCTGGGGGAGTCATCACTGACTGTGACCGGGACCCCACAGTCCCCCCTTAGGGCAGGAATTCCAGGCTAGGCTCTGGAATGTGTCAAGAGAATAAACAGTTGTGAAGCAGGGGCGAAAGAGAAGCTTTAGACTGCTGCCGTTTTTGGATGAATGAAAAACGTGTTCCTTAAAAAAAAAGACAGCAAGTAAAATCGGTCTCTTGCAGCCAAAGACCTTTGTTTCGTTCTGCGCCCTAATACCCCCTGTGCCCGACCGGAGGTGCCAGCCAGCCTCACAAAGATGAGGTTTCTCGTTTGCCCCTAACCTTAAATGTAGGTGACAACAACCACAGTCAAGAGCAAACCTCTCCGCCAGCCCGTCTCGTTTCTCACTTTGTTTGGGAAAAGAAAGAAGACGCGGTATCGGGCCGGCACGTGGCAGTATCTGAAAGAATTTCTGACGTGAAGAAAGTTAGGGAACGAGTGAGGAAAAACAGAGGACAGGAGCCCAGATGACAGGCATGATCTGCGGTAGGGGGGAAGCCAGTCAATGCAACAGACACCGCAGCCCACAGGAAAGCAGATTCATCTGTTTATTGACCTATTCCAGGAAGACTAAATCAGCAAAATACTGATTCCTGGGACGAGCCACAGGAGGGCCGTAGCTCATTGTTTGCAGTGATGCAGACGGATTGTTTTGATAACGAGCTGCGGCGTAATGTCCATCAGCGCCCCGTGACCTTTCGCCTCGCGGACGGAGCCGCGTGGCGGCGAGGGGCCGGGGCTCCAGCAGGGGCCGGTCCCCGCCCTCGGAGGGGCCCGTCCCGTCACCTCAGCTCAGCGTCCCCCCCGCCTCCCTGACCGACGGGAAAAGATGTAGCGGCAAGCTGTCTGCCACCGCAGAGATCCGATGAGACGCGGATTTCAGCAACTGCTTCCATGGGCTGGGACACGAGGCAGATTTGTATCCGAGAGCCTCTCCGCGGCGACGCCAGGCTAATGCAGAAGAGGCTGTCGGCGCGCTGATCCAGCATCAAAGAGAAATGGTTCACTCCCCCCCCCCCCTCTCCTACAGGACTCCGAGCACGCCCACGCACACACACACACGCAGGAAGGGGAGTTCTGCTCGGGAGCCTTTCCATTTTCTGCACTCCCTTCCCAACACTCACTCACAACCCCCCACACGCCCCTCCCCACCTGGGTGATACACTTCCCTGCTCGGCACCTCGTTTATGTTCTTCGACCTCGGTTCACCTCAGAGGCGTTGTTCTTGTCCCCCGTTCGCACACAAAAATCATGCCTGTGCCCCTCCGTGCTCCGGTTATGTCTAACACGTGCTCTGGTCACAGACCATCCTTCGCCGTGCATCGTTCACACCCCTCCCTTCCGCTCTCTCTCACAGACTGGGCCTCAAAATTCAGCCCCTTAATTAAGGCCTTGGTGTTGGAAGGGCGTCTGCAGTAAACTACTAAAAAACTTATAAAGATGAAGATGTTGGCTAGGGCTGCTTTCAAATTTTAAGCCACAGTAATGGTTTCAGGAAAGGCAGGTGAGCAATGTGAGGGTTCGTTTGTGTGGATAACTGTCCGGTGCAGCCCAGTTGACACTCCTCCTTCTTCCTCCTCTGCCAGGCTAACGGGGGATGGCAGGATGCGACCACTCCATCTTCTGTGACGTCCCCGACAGAGGGTCCCGGAAGTGTGCACTCCGATACCTCGAACTGATCCCTTCACCGACGCCGTCCAATCCCTGCGTGCTGCCGAGCCCTCACTCGCACCGACGGACCAACCAGAGAAGCCGAACGGTCACCACTTCCGAAACCCATCGTCTGCCGCGTTTTACTGTAAAACCCTCCCCCTTCCTCCCGGACCCCTCTGTGACTCGAGCACGAGGGTCTTCGCCCTTCGGCGATCTGCTAGGAGTGGATCCGGTGCTCCTCCCCCGCCCCACCCCACCACGTTGTGAAGCGTTTGTCTATCTGTTCGGACCCGACAGCCCTGCGGGCCCCGCTTGGTGCCGACGTGTCCGCTCCCCGGAGCCCGGCATCGGCGCAACAGGTGCAGCTGCTTTGCCCCCGGATCTGTCTGCCCGCCGCCATCGTCTTTCACAGCCCCCCTCCATCCCACCAGCAAAGCCCCCTCTGCACCGAG